ATACAGATATTTTTCTACATGTGTACTGTATTATGTTTACAAACACGATGCATATTCATTTTTGTATAAACAAGGATAAATATAAAGATATGCATGTAAACTGATGCAATAAAATCTTACTAGACAGCTTAAAAGTTTTAAAATGTTTGCCAGAAACAACATAACAAAAATTAGGAACACAATAGAAAAACTAAATATAGAAACCTAGCTAAGTATAGTACTCAAAACAGAAAGGATTCTATAAAATTACTGTATGATTAAGTAGCAAAAAATCTAAGGAATTCACGCTCTATTTTCAAAACTAAAAACATTCCATGAAGAAAAGAGAATTACAGAAATCTGGATTCTATTACAAAGAAATTCTCTATTTCGCCCTATGTTTCATTTATAAGTTTATATAATCTGATATAAGATGGAAGAAATGGAAAATATTTGCAAAAAATGTGGTTAGAGAATATAGCAATCAGAAAATTGTTAACACTATTGGTGTTAACTCTAAAAATAATCTAACATATAGCAACAATTACACTGTCAAATGGAAACATTTCCCAAGCCCAGCTGTTCACAAGTCTTAAGCACATTGTCCTCATGGGTCAGTGGGGAGTGAGTGAACAAGTGTTTATGAGTTCCAATTAGGAAGTACGGTAATATCTACACTGGTCATTTTATTTCAAATGAAATTTTAAACCATTTATGACTTCTCCTCACAAAAATAAAGGCAACCTTTAGATTGAACACTACAAAATTCTGGATTAATGAAATCTAAAGTGATGAGGTTTAAAATTACCTTTAAAGTTATGATTTCATGTCCCATAAAAGAAACATGAGACTACTACTTTTCAACTGTGTACACATACACCACCCAATTTATGGCAAATAGAAGCTGCCTTGAAGGACTTGAAGCTTTCAATGGAAACGTAGATATGTCAGCTGAGCTCCCTGTCCTAAAACTAAAATAACTTTAAAAAATCATTACCCAGAATCATTCCAGAAATGTTGAGCTTTTCCTAGAAACTGACCAATGTTGAACAGATTCAAAACTAGAAACTGAGATCACTCACCTATAAAATTTATTTTAGTTTTCAAGTCCAGGGGTAAATGCTGTTTTTAAGTTTACGTTTGAGAATGGAAATATCAGTAACATTTATTAGCATCCTATATAATAAAAGGCTAACATGCAAATTGACTGAATGGTGGAACGAACGGTCACTATGATGCACACTGACCACCAGTGGGCAGACGCTCAATGCAGGAGCTGCCCCCTGGTGGTCAGTGCACTCCCACAGGGGGAGCGCAAATCAGCTAGAAGCCGGGCTCATGGCTGGCGAGTGCAGCAGCGGTGGCGGGAGCCTCCCCTGCCTCTGCAGCAGTTGGACATACACTGAGGGCTCCCGGACTACAAGAGGGTGCAGGCCAGGCTGAGGGACTGCCCCCCACCCCCCCCCCCCGCAAGTGCATGAATTTCATGCACCGGGCCTCTAGTACTAGATTAAATGATCTGAGTTACTAGGTCTGGACCTCTGAGTAACTGGCTGGTTCTGCCTCTCGCAGTAAGATTGGAAGTAACTTAGAAGTTTCTCTCTACAGAACTTCTAAATAGTGCTTGTTAATATCCAGATGTCCAGACCACATATATTTTTAATTTTCAGGTGAAAAGTTCAATTTCAGAGAGTCTAGTTGGAATTTGATGATATTATACCAAGTCCAAGTAGAAATCCCAGTTTTCTCATAATTACTAGAAGTGCTGATTCATCCTTATATGAATCTGCCTGCTACTTAATGGGACAATGGGAAAACTTTTTCCTTTCAATGGTAGATACAATCTTTCAAAATGAGGTTCACAGGTGAAAATTTTAAAAATAGCAGTTAGTATAAAATGTTCATAGATCATTAAAAATAAGAGTATAAAACCATAAAAGTTATAAAAAACATAAATCCAGTCAAGCTTCAACCCCTACATTTTCTACAAAGTCTTGAATAATGTGACCTACTCACCATGCACTCACTTCACCCCAGATGTGCTGGCTTCTGTTCTGCTTCCTCCAGAACTCCTTCCCACTACGAGGCCTTTATACCTGCTGTTCTCTCCCCTAGGATGTTCTTAATTCCTTGTCTGTCTGGAACTTTCAATTAATCCTTCAGTTCTCAGCTTAAAAGCGACTTCCTGAGGAGAGCTTTGCTCTTTATCAATTTTCCACTCCCCACTCTGCTCTGGCCTCTTATCTGTTGACTGTATCCTTCATTGTACTTACTGGACTTAACTGTACATTGTTTCATAACTACAATTAAGTAACCATGTGTTTGATATCTTTTTTCCAACTCTATACAGAAAACCCTATGAAAGTATGATTGTATCTGTATTATTTGCTGCTATTTCCTCAATGTCAAGCATATACCAGGAAATAAGACATTAAAAGAAATATAATTTTGCACTGTGCTCTTGCACAAAGTAATGAAAATTAATCTATCTCACACAAAATCAGGATTCCGTCACACATTTGTGAGAGTTTAACAATTTTGAAGAAGCTGTTGAAGCAAGATTTTTCACAATCTTCATTCCCAAATGCTCTAAATCTTTAACTAGGTTGCTAAGCTGGGGACATGGAGTGATGTTCCTTGAAAATATTCATGGAATTCAGTGTGGCAGCTAAGTTTCCTGGATGGAAATAAAATGAGGCTCTCAACCAAAGCCAACCAGCCTTCAAATGAATGAGTCATAAGAAATTATGACTAAAAGGCCACCCAAGAAGAGTATGTAATAAGAAATTCAACCTATGTTCATTTGAATTTTGACAATTAACTCAACTTCAACTAAAACAAATGCTTGATGAATGGGACAAAGATATGTTTGTTTGTTTGTTTGTTTTTTTAAGGTAAAAACTCAGGAGAAACCTCTGAGATGAGGATTTCCCAAGATGATTATGAATTTTGAAAGTATTATAAAAACTTCCAGATTTTGAGGACCAATTTTTAAAAAACTTTGGAAGTTATAAAATAAAGTCATAGCTATTTGGAATTTGTCAATTCTTAAGAAACTTTAATGCAGGACACCTATGGATCAAGAAGCTCTATAATTTAAATATCTGATGTAAGAACTTTTTTTAAAGAGAAAATACTTATTTTCCAAAAACCTTCAATTCAATAAATAACAAAGAGAGAAGGGGAACATATGAAGCAAAATAAATAATTAAACCTGATATTAAGACCAAGGAACTTAAGAATAAGAAGCAAACTGCTTACTTTCTATCCTCTCATATCAGCCCAAGATTCTTAGGAAATAAAGCTGAAAAGATGGAAATCTATCATCATCTCTTTCTCTTTTACCTTTCTGTTTTGATGGTTAGGGGTGGGGGAACATGAGTATGTGTGTACAGTGGTGAAAGGGGCAAAACTAACAGTTGTTTGTGCCTACTATGCTGTGTGCCTACAGACACTACACATGTATTATTAGACTTACTAGTCTAATAATTCGTGCACCAGTGGGGTCCCTCAGCCTGGCCTGCAGGATCCGGCTGAAGCTGGCTCTCCGACATTCCCCGAGAGGTCCCAGATTGCAAGAGGGCGCAGGCCAGGCAGAGGGACCCCACCAGTGCACAATCAGGGCTGGGGAGGGACGCGGGAGGTTGGCCAGCAGAGAGGGACCACGGGAGGGCTCCACGGCATGCCTGGCCTGTCTTGCTCAGTCCCAATCGGCCGGACCCCAGCAGCAAGCTAACCTACCAGTCAGTGCCTGCCCTTTGATGGTCAGTGCACATCATAGCGACTGGACAATCTGTCGACTATCTGCCCCCCTCCCCCCGGTGGTCAGTGCACGTCATAGCAAGTGGTTGAACGACCTTAGTATTAGCATATTACATTTTGATTGGTTGAATGGACGACGGGACAACCAGACACAGCATATTAGGCTTTTATTATATAGGATTCCTCACAACTAATCTACTTGCAGATGAAGTTCAACTGACCGGCTAGGGGTCACCTGGTTTTCATTCCAGGACTACCTAAGTGCCCCTTCTAAACACTACATTGCCTTAGTTTTCCTGGTTGTGTAAAAAATTTTAATTGCTCATTAGCATAATTTTCCAGTTTTCTTCTTTCCATTATTCCATCTAATGATTGTTCTTTCTCACATGAGATTAGCCTTCACACCCTGATCTATCACTTAGAAGCTAAGGGAAACAGACTCCTCCCAGAGCCTAACATTCTCACACCTGGGAGGTTTTTGACAATTTCCTCATTTATACAATTTAAAAACCCAATTTTTGATTTTTAATGGTGAACTTAGAAAAATTGTTGAATATTTAAATTATTTAAATGATTATTTTAATATATCCTTGTACTAGCAACATATCTTAACTTTTCTCACCACAGTACTCTAATAGCACAGGGGAATAAATACATGCCAAGCAGTCAAAATACATGAGAGATTTCATTCAAGTCTTGCATTTTATCTTAGTGATTCATAAATTGTACATTTTATTCCACTTAATAGCCTTTATTTTAGCCACCCTCCCCCCTTTAGATTCTAAACATTAACAATCTGGAGAATATCGCATGTTTATTTTACAGTGTCTCAGATAGCACTTGTGGTACTCCTGGTGGTATGAGATTCTATTCTCTGAGAAAAATGGTAAAATGGTCTTTAGCACAGTACTATGATATGGTAAAATGTGGATAATAAAGCTTTATATCAATATACCACATTTCAATAATTGACAGATTTTTAAAGTAATTATTGTGTTCCAATATTATAAAAGTGAAAAATCAGTTTTTCCGCTACTAAGGAAAGGAAAGTATATTGGCTTTATATAAAAGTTAATACATTTTAAATTATTGGAATCTAATACTGATCTAATCTTACTTGTCAAATTTATGTAAGTGTTCTTAACTCTTCAGTCCTTCTACTCTATCCCAAGCTTATGGAACAGGTACTTAAAGAAAAATTTCATTTTTGTTTTTAGGAAATATAAAATGCAGGAGCCATGGTATAAAGTGAAAATTACCTTGTTTATCTATAACTGAGTATGAAGCCAAAAATCCTCGTCCAGAAACATGGATTCCGCTCATGAACAGCACTGTAATTTCATTGCTTTTTGATTCAATTGAATGGTTCATCTGCAATCCCAGACCACAGTATTTGCCTAGGAATGAAGAAAAGCAGATCTTTGTTGTGACTCTTATAAAGTCAATAATTTTTACCATGTAGATAATAGAATCAGAATAATATACCAAACTCTGCATGTTAAATAGTGTAAAATGATAAGTAGGATGTTTAGTGATTAAAAATCCCATTACTCTGAAGGGAAAAGAAAAAAGTCAAGTAATAACTGTTCAAATGATGCAAAAGAAAAAAACTGTACAAGCATTACTGACCTTTTGAAAAGTCAATTTCCTATGAAATACATGTGTATACTCTTTAAAAGAATAACCAGGAATTTTTAAAAAATGAAAGCATTGCAGGCAGGCAGGTGGCCCACAAATAAATTGACAGTCAATCAGTAACCCCACAGGGTGCCCCAAGGTTCCTGGTCTCAGGACACAACCTCTCAAACCTTTTATGAACCTTCTCAATTTTTCTGCCAAGGCCTGTTGAACTTCTGGTCAACCCCTTTGGGTGATCATTCATATTAAAATAAAAAAACACAATTCAGTCTATAACTTTTCAATTTATTTAGCATTTAATAAGTTAATACCAAACATCAAGGTAAACATGCACTTTTCTTAGATGCTATCGTTTTCAATATAAAATATGTCTTGCTCATCTGTACAAAAAAAAACAAAAAACACACACCACCTTCTATTTCTAAATATGGAATGTAATTTTAGCTATCAATATTTTTAACATTTAAGCAAAATAACACATTATCGAATAACACTACAAGTTATATAAATACATAAGATGATAAAATCTTCAGACTTGTTTTTTAATACCAAGTAACTCAGAAATAGTCTAGTAAAGAGGATAAATATTAAATATTGTATTGCTTTTGAACATAAAATATTTAAACACAGAGTAATATATATTTCACATTATTCTAATTATCTCAAAGCTATATAATTTGTTAGCAAACCCAACTATGTATGTGCAGAACCAGTGCCCATCACATTAAATCTTAAAGCCCAATGGGAATAGTTAAGGCAAGAGAAATTATGGTCACTAGTATCTTTATACAAGATTAATTTTTGTAAAAGTGAACAACAGTTTGATCTGGGCCCATCAGTACTAGCTGTTTTTTGCCATGTAAGGATATATGTAGGTGTGATTTTATTACAAGCCTGATTAAGATGCTCAGTATAAATACTGACTTTTCAGATCCTTTCAGGTACAAAGGAAAAAGATCCTATTTAAAGAATACCTAACATGCCATACAATGATGTCTTCATAAAAAGTATATTATTAAAGTGAAACAATGTGCAAAAAAATAGTTTTAACCCTTTTTATATGGACAGAACCCCAAAAATATTTTTTATTGGCACGGAAGTTTCATCTTTTGTTTATTTGTTTGTTTATCTGGACTTATCTTGTCCTATAAAATGTGAGTAAATTTAATCTGTGGTAGAAACAAAACATTTTTTAAAAATCACTTACGTTCTGTGAAACTCAAAAGGCAATGCTGAAGAATGGATAACCACAATTTAAAAAACAGAAGAAAGAAAAAAGAAAAGTATAATAGCTGACCATATAAGTGCTTAAATGAGCTCAAATATACAAGAAAAACACCTGCCTTCACCTGCTATTCCCAGCCAAGATGACCCTCCTTCTCCTCACTTGGCTCTCCTTTGACCACCAGCTTTACCCGCTGTACAAGTAATGCAAAGAACTTGGCAAAGCACTCTGGGAAAGGAAGAAGAAAAACCATTCCTAATCTGGGCAACATACTTGTTAATTCTTTAATGCCATTTCCCTAGTTTGGCCATTCAAAGGTACTCCTAAATCAAAATAAAGCATTTAATTGTCAACAATTATAAGTTCTGCTGATGGCTCTTAAGGTCACAGAAATCGCTATAGTTTCTCATGATTAAATAAGAAAGGTATTTGAAAAAATATTTTGTGAATATATAGAGGACATTAAAATATAAAAGTTAAAATTATTAATCACCATAACACCCATGAAACATTTGTTTTAAATATAAAAGAACCCATGTTCCAGGAAAATAAAAATGCTTAAAAGTTATTAGCCTTTAGGAAACTAGGAAAAGAAACCAAAAGCAGGTTATTTGAAAAAACAAAACAAAAAAACAACAACAACAAAGAAAACAACCTAATAAGACTCTAGTAAGCCTAAATAAGAAAAAGAGAAGACACAAATCACTAACATCCGAAATGAAGGTGGGGACAGATCCTTACAGATCCCATGGACATCAAAAGGATAATAAAGAAATACTATGAAAAACTCTACGTCCAAAAATTGGATAACCTTGATAAAATGGACAGGTTCCTTGAAATACACAATTTGCCAAAACTCAAACAAAAAGAAACAAATTATCTGAATAGGCCTATATCTAGGATATTAACAATAATTAATAATACTTCAAAAGAAAAAGCACCTGGCACAAATGGGTTCACTGGTAAATTTCACCAAACATTTAAGGAGAAAATTACACCAATTCTCTATAATCTCTTTCAAAGGATAGAAGCAGAGGGAATATTTCCTAACTTATCCTATGAGACCAGCATCACCCTAAAACCAAACTCAAAGACTACAAGAAAACTACAGACCAATGTTTCTCATAAAAATGGGTGCAAAAATACTTAATACAGTATTAGCAAATCAAATCCACAGTGTACTAGGTATACCGGTTAATAATGCGGATTTTTTTCAATAGATGGAGTTACACATATGTTGATATATATGCGATTTGATATGTATATTATTTTGTTGTATTGACGGCAAGCTTCAAAAGTTCATGTCAAATTTGCTGAAGGTGTTAACATCATAGATATTTTTATGTTTAAAAATGTCGAATTTCGTGCCCAAAAAAAGAGCCTTTGCATGAAGTTTTAATTCATTACTTTATTTTGAAGAAAAGTGCTGCTGAAAGTTATTGTATACTTCGGGAAGCTTATGGTGAACATGCTCCATCTCAAGATACTTGTGAACCTTGTGAACGCTGGTTTAAACACGTTAAAAGTGATGATTTCGATGTGAAAGACAAAGAACGTCCAGGTCAACCAAAAAAGTTTGAAGACCAACAATTGCAAGCATTATGGGATGAAGATGCGTGTCAAACTAAAAAACAACTTGCAGAAAGATTAAACGTTTCTCAGCAAACAATTTCCGATCATTTACAAGCAATGGGAAAGATTTTAAAGGAAGGAAAATGGGTGCCACATCAACTGAATGAAAGACAAATGGAAAACCGAAAAGTCATCAGTAAAATGTTGCTTCAACAGCACGAAAGAAAGTCTTTTTTGCATCGAATTGTGACTGGCGATGGAAAGTGGATTTATCTTGAGAATCCCAAATGCACAAAACCATGGGTTGATCCAGGTCAACCATCAACATCGACTGCAAGGCCAAATCGCTTAGGAAAGAAGACAATGCTCTGCATTTGGTGCGATCAGGAAGGTGTGGTGTATTATGAGCTTCTAAAACCAGGTGAAACCGTTAATACTGATCACTGCCAACAACAAATAATCAATTTGAACCACGCTTTGATCGTAAAACGACCAGAATGGGCCAGAAGACACAGCAAAGTAATTTTGCTTCATGATAACGCACCATCACCCACTTCAAAACCAGCTAAAGACCCATTAAAAGATCTTGCCTGGGAAGTATTAACCCACCTGCTATATTCACCAGACCTTGCTCCTTCAGATTACCACTTGTTCCAATCAATGGCACACGCACTTTCTGAGCAGCACTTCAAAATGTATGAAGGAGTGGAAAATTGTGTCTCTGAATGGTTTGCCTCAAAACAAGAAAAGTTCTACTGGACGGTATACACAAATTACCTGAAAGATGGAGGAATTGTGTAGCTAGCGATGGACATTACTTTGAAAAAAGCACTTTTGATGTTTCTCTTGAAATTATTATGTTTTCTTTGATTACAAAATCCGCATTATTAACCAGTACATCATTCCACAATGATGTCATTATACATTTGTTCAAATCCATGGAATGTGCAACAACAACAACAAATTTAGCCATTAGGAAATGCAAATCAAATTCATAATGATATTCCACTTTACAGCCACTAGGATGGCTAGAATAAAAAAGACAGATAGCAAGGATATTGAAAAATTGGAACCCTCATACAATGCTTGTGGGATTGTAAAATGGTGCAATCGCTTTTGAGAACAGCCTAGCAGTTCTTCAAAGGGTTAAACATATAATTAGAGTTATCATATGATCCAGTAATTCTACCCCTAGGCATCTATACTAATAAAAGGGTAATATGCTACTTAGACCAGGAGACCTTCCAGACATCCCCGGACAAAGCCATGGTGCAGGGCCGAAGCAGAGGCAGTTAGGGGCGATCAAGGCGGGAGGGGAGGACAGTTGGGGGCGATCAGGACAGAATGCAGAGTGGTTAGGGGCAATCAGGCAGGCAGGCAGGCAGGTTAGCAGTTAGGAGCCAGCAGTCCCGGATTGTGAAAGGGATGTTCGACTGCCTGTTTAGACCTGATCCCTGCAGGACCCGAGGGGTCCCAGATTGGAGAGGGCACAGGCCGGGCTGAGGGACACCTGCCCCCATGCACGAATTTTATGCACCAGGCCACTAGTACTAGTATATCCAAGAGAAATGTAAACATATGTCCACACAGAGTTGGACCTGATATCTCACAGCAGCATTATTCATAATAGCTGAAATTTACAAACAACCTAACCAGCATCCTGCAGTTCCTAGGATAAACTGGCATGGAAGGGTGGTGATAAATCTCAAAGAATAATGCGATCATTTACAAACAGGAGGAGCCATAAACTATCACTCCAGGAGGACACTAGAAACGAAAAGCAGTCCCTGGCCCAGTTTTACAACTGCAAGAAAGTGAAATCTGCCAACCACCAGTGAGTTTGGAAGAGAATCCTCATCCCCAGCTGGTATCTTGATTTCAGCCAGGCAAGGCCCTAAGCAGAGAATCCAGTCATGCCATGCTCAGACTTCTGAGCTACAGAAACTGAGATAATGAACTGTG